GCAGGGTCCGCCTCCCATCGGCAGGGAGCCGCTGGGCAGGTGTAGGGGCTGTGCTCGTGGGTGCCAGCTCTCCAAAAAGTGCCGGGTTTCAAACATTCCCCTGTCCCTTCTACAGTTCTTCGCCCCCTCCCGCGTTGGGAAGCCAGCTGGTCTGCCTGCAGCCAGGTTTCTGTCTTATTTACACCCGCGCAGCTTTGAAGCGGCGAGAAGAGAGCGAGGGTGACCTGAGGGAGGCGCTTTGAAAAACCCACGCGCGCCAAGAATTTAAGATCGTGGCGTCCCCCTTTCGGCTTCTGTGCAGGCCTTGACTCCAGCCGTTGCACAACCAGTAATGTTGGGAGAAGTCTGCGGGGGCATGAGTGAAAACCAGTGCGCTGCTGCTAATTTACTGCGGACCCCACTCCGCCTCGTTAACGCGTGAATGAACACCCCCTTTGGGTTAGAAGAGGCCTTTCCCTCCTTCCACGCCGCAGCGCTCTAACCACGGGGAGCTCTGGCGGGGGAAGCATTCTGCTTGGCCCCGATTTAATGTCTGATGCAGGCATCGCCTTTCTTGCAAAACGGGTGAGGGTGGTACAGCACCGCGCTCTTCCCAGCTACCTCACTTGGATAATTAGTTTGGCTCTTGTTTAGGCACGCTCAGCCTGGCTTCTATAGGTGCAATAGGTGACGGCGCTTCATCCAAAGCTGCTGTAGCTGAGGAGAGATGACATAAAAAAGGAATAATAGAAAGAAAGGGAAAATGCTCATTCATTGTCCGTCCGTCCCTTTGCATTCCATCTGCACTCCCATTGCAGATGACACCAAACTGGGTGGTAGTGTTGATCTGCTTGAGGGGAGGAGGGCTCTGCAGAGAGACCTGGACAGGCTGGATCCATGGGCCGAGGCCAACTGTATGAGGTTCAATAAGGCCAAGGGCCGGGTCTTGCACTTTGGTCACAACAACCCCATGTAGCGCTACAGGCTCAGGGAAGAGTGGCTGGAAAGCTGCCTGGTGGAAAAGGACCTGGGGGTACTGGTTGACAGCCGGCTGAATATGAGCCAGCAGTGTGCCCAGGTGGCCAAGAAGGCCAATGGCATCCTGGCCTGTATCAGAAATAGTGTGACCAGTAGGAGTAGGGAAGTGATCGTGCCCCTGTACTGGGCACTGGTGAGGCCGCACCTCGAATACTGTGTTCAGT